GCTTGTTGACATAGACTTGTGATTTCAAATAACCCCATAAAAAGAAGTCTAATGGTGTTAAATCACACGATCTAGGAGGCCAATTTTGATCACCGAAACGAGAGAGTACACGACCGGGAAATGTCTCATGCAGTAATTGAATTGTTTCACGGGCTGTATGACATGTGGCACCGTCTTGTTGAAACCACATATTGGGTACATCAATATCATTCAATTTTGGCAGAAAGAACTGTGTAATCATGTCGCGATATCGAGCACCAGTAACAGTCACTGCTTGACCAGCATCATTTTCAAAAAAATATGGCCCAATTATGCCTCCAGCCCAAAATCCACACCAGACAGTCACGCGTTGTGGGTGCATTTCTTTTTCGACAATCACACGTGGGTTCTCCGAACCCCAAATGCGGCAATTTTGGCGATTGACAAAGCCATCAAGATGAAAATGTGCTTCATCGCTTAGGATGATTTTGCTTGAAAAATCAGGGTCCATTTGTTGATGTTCAATAATCCATTCAACAAACTCTCTTCTCTCTGCATGGTCATTAAGCTTCAATTGTTGTGTTAATTGAAGTTTGTAAGCATGAAGACACAGATCTTTGGTGAGTATACGCTGTAGAGAGGTTCTTGACATTTGCAATTCTTGTCCACGACGTCGAATTGAGGTTCCTTGATTGTCCGCAACACTCTCACGCACTGCTTCGATATTCACATTTGAACGGCTTGTTTTTGGACGACCAGTGTGTTTGGCGTCTCCAACGGATCCAGTCTCCATGAATTTTTCAATTAATCTCTTCACAGTTGACGAAGTTAAAACACTATTCCGGCCATATTTTGTATGAAATTTTCGAACTGCAGCCGCCAAGCTTTCACTATTTTTGAAATATTCTTTAATAATGAAGACACGTTGTTCTATCGTGTAACGCTCCATTTTTCATAACCCTATACTGTTAGCTGTCAAATTGCTTTTTTTCAGGGTTGCCAACACTTCACTGCACAAATGGCGGCAAATTCAAATCTTGCGTTAATTTTGGGACACCCTTATATATATATATCTTCATCTAAGTCACCATTGAGGAATGCAGTCTCTACATCCAAATGCTCAGCTGATACATTTAAATCAACAGTCATCGCCAATAAGAGTCTCAAATTACTAAACCTTATAACAGGCGAAAAAGTTTCTGTATAATCAAGGCCATATTTTTGGGTGAAGCCTTTAGCAACTAACCTTGCTCTATACTTTGATGTTTTTCCATCACTATCTCTTTATTTTAAAGATCAACTTATTTTTTACAATATTTTTCCGGGTGGTCTGCCGACTAACTCCCATGCTTCATTGGCTTAAGAGCATCCAACTCCTTTTTTATAGCACTTTTTCATTCCATTGTGTCGGAACCGGACGAAGCTTCAGAAAGTGTTGCAGGCTCAGAAGTATGATAAGTGACTACCATTGCATAATCAAGATCTTCATCCGTCACGTAATTATCAAAATATTTTGGCTTTTGAACATTACGTCTTGGATATCTACTTACAGTTGGTTGTCCGCCACTTTCATCACTCACTTCCGCACTTTCACTAACACCAACACATGGGGCATCATCAGTCACAGTAGGTGCCATATCATTCACTATCTTTTGTGGCTGTGGCACGTCTGCTTCTTCAGAAACAACAGCTGCTGGTTTCACATTCTCGCTAGACACATCCATTTCCACACTACTGCGCTCAAGTGGATATAAAACACTTAGCTCATCAAGACAGACTGAATCTTCTCCAAGTTCAGGAAATTCATCCTCCAAAAAAACAACATCCCTAGCAACGTGCAGCTTATGGGAAACAGGGTGTATCAGTCGATATCCAACAGTTGTCTCTGAATATCCTGTAAAGATATACTCTTGTCGTCAAGGATCTTTTTTCTCGCATTAGGTATATGTGCATAAGCCCTGCACCCAAATACCCTCAAATGCTTGAAATTTACATTCTTTCCGGACCATACTTCCTCCGGGGTAGCACCCTTTATCTTTTTGGTGGGTGACCGGTTCAGCAAGTACACTGCTGTGGTTGCAGCTTCAGCCCACAATTGCTTTTGGCTCCTGGCGTCGATAAGCATGGATCTTACTTTCTTCATGATAGATTGATTATATCTTTCTGCCAGACCATTTTGTTCTGGACAATAGGGTACAGTCAACTCATGCTTAATGCCTTTTTTCTTCAAGAAGTTAGCCAGCCTCTGATTACAGTATTCCTGCCGTTGTCAGATCTGAGCACTTTTATTTTTCTCCCAGACTGATTTTCAACGTATGTGCAGAATTATTCAAAGATACAAAATACTTTCCTTGAGTGGTCATCAATCAGGGTAAGCATATATCGAGCATCTCCCCATGACTCAACCTCGATTGGCCCACATAAATCACTGTGCGCCAGGTCAAGGACATTTTTTGCTATTTGTTTACCCTTCAGGAAAGGAAACGGCTTTCGTGCATGATTTCCTTTTACACAGCTGATGCAAATCGTTGGGGTAATTGGCTCTTGAAATTCAACACCTATTGCAAGCTTATCTTTGAGAAGCTTCATGCTGAAGTGATTAAGATGCCCCAGCCTCCTATGCCATAACATGTCATTATATGATTGAATTAAATTTACCTTATCAGTGATTTTGTCTAGCTCATACAGTCCACCATTGTTCGATGCTGAAGCTACCGGCTCTTCCTGAATGCGATATTTTTCTTTTTCAAATATCCTACACCCCTTAGAGTCAAAAGTAACACTGAATCCCTTCTTCACCAAGGTATTCACTGATAACAGGTTGACACTTAAGTTTGGCACATATTTCACCCCACTGATTTTTATTTTTCAATAATTGGGCACACTTACTGCGCCGGTCCGTGAATACGCGTTACGAGTCCACTCTCTTTCCTCGTCTAATCTTATAGCCTACAACAGTGACTTCGAACTGTCACCCGATATGGTCTGCCAACCTAACCTATCAGACAACGCAACGTTGCCAAATCAGTAACATGCGAAATTGCATATTTTAACACCTACAGTAGAGAGTGGGGACTCAGAAATTGGAACATGCTGAATCAGAATTTTGTGCACAATGCGGTGTATACTATTTTGATGAAAACGGTCCCATATGTGATTGTGTCCCACTAAATCAACTAGCAAGAACCTCCAGAGCTCTGGAGATATGAGATTTATTAGCCTCGTTGTATTACTTAATAATACTTGTTATGTTGTAAGGATTATATATTTTTCTAACCTAAAAAAATTGTTCAATTTTTACGAGAAGACCATGTTGCCATATTCCCCAAAGCAAGATGCCATATTACCCATTGGTACGGATAATATGGCCATAGCGCATCATTCGACATTTTTGCTTCTAACCACTCTTCATTCTGGGATTATGTCAACGAGCATTTCACGCCACATACTCAAATATACACGCTCTAAGATGCCGCCTTCTCGTTGTGGTTGGGTTGGTTGCATGTTAGAATGTGAGGTTTTGAAATTTATGTTGCTATATTCCCCCACTTTACTCTAGATATACATATACTTATAAATAAAATCGTGATACTTTTGACAGCCAAAGTATACAGGGTGTCCCGAAAAAAGTGTGCAATATTCTACTAGCGGTTTCTAGAGCTTAAAATAAGAAGAAAAGTTTATATAAACATAGGTCGACAGACGTCCCCTAAGGGTGCTACGGTCTTTTAAAAGGGCTCCCCTGAAGATGATTTTTTCTTAATATTTCCGAAACTTGTTGAGATAGACATAAAATTTGGTATTCTAGCCTAGTTTTTTATGCTGGATTTAAAAATATTAACAATTTTAGACAGTTTTGTTTGGAAGCGTATGTAAGAGGGACGAACTCAGGTTATTTTGGCCCCAAAATTTTGTGTGATTCTATTATTGAAATTCAATGTTAGAATTTGAAAATTTATGGTTTTCGACATGATACTGTCTAAAATTGTTAATATTTTTAAATCCAGCATAAAAAATTAGGCTAGAATACCAAATTTTATGTCTTTATCTCAACACGTTTCGGAAATATCAAGGAAAAACCATCTTCAGGGGAGCCCCTTTAAAAGACCGTGGCGCCCTTAGGGGACGTTTGTCGACCTATGTTTATATAAACTTTTCTTCTTAGTTTAAGCTCTAGAAATCGCTGGTAGAATATTGCACACTTTTTTCGGGACACCGTGTATAGGCAACATTATTTTTCTGTCTGACTTTAGTTAACTTAATCATTCACGGTGTGAGATGCACATGCAACTAACTTATGATCATTCTTACCATATTGCTGCACCACGCAACAACCAAGAGCATTTTTAGAAGCATAACACTGTAAAATTGTTTTTCTATAAAGCTGGCAACGGACGGTGAGGGATAATATAATATATTTATATTATAGTCGTACAATACGCTATAATATTATATTATATTATGACTGCAACAGACTACAGAATATATTATATTTTCATATCTTTCTAGCAGTGTTGCCGAACCTACCGATTTTTTAGTATTTCAGTGAGTAGGCTGAGTTGATCTGTGGTGTACACAGTGTATTTAATTAACCAATGTTTCATTATTTAATTGTGGTGTTCAAAATGTCTAAGAGGCTTAATGATTTGCTTCTACTAGACACAATCAGAAGATGAATCAAATGCCGAAAACGATTACCTCTTAGCAGTGATTGCTTCTAACCAAAAAGAAAACCCTATATACTGGTTATCTAACCATATCAGGTTTCGGAAGGAACGAGGAGAATTTACACTGTTCAACCTCTTAAGTGATGAAAAATTCGCGAATTATTTCCCAATGGATAGCATTTTTTTATGATTACATTTTATGATAAAAAACGACATAACGAAGAAAAATACAAATAAGAGGGAGAGCATTACTTCGTTACAGCGATTAACAGTTACTTTAAGGTATGTATGAATAGTAGTCTCCAAATGGAGAATAAAAGCGTGATTGCGTGAATGAAAAACAAAAGAGTTTAGGTAGAATTTTATTGATAAGTAAAACTACATCTGTTTGTATGTGGTTCCATCAAGTATGTAGGATTGTAGGTTATCACTAGACTATTAGTCATTTGAAGATGAGTCCCCAGTCTGTATCTGTAGTGGGGCTGAAGGAGACCTTCTTGGAGTATGGGCTTCATAATGCGCTATACCGGAAGTATTTCAGTCTGACGAACTTGGGAGGGAAATACAATATGTCTTGGGTGGCGGCTGAGTGGAAAGATCTGGTGTTGCCATTCTGCTTTGCCTTTGTAAATTTGCTTCATGAGCGTCCATGACACTGTTAAAGATCTGTCGCTGGACTTGTACTTGCGAATATGGTGGGAGTTCATTGGTTATGCCATACATGCTATCAAAAAACTTTTTTAAAGGTGTATCCTTACGCTCCATACTCTTCTCCCGACTATGTAAACCTCTTCTGAATAAGTCTCTGTCAGTTGACCTTCGATCCCTTCTTTTTTGCTCCTGTTGGAGATAGTCAGTCATTTTATCAACTTTTCTTTTATTTCGCTGTGTATTAGGGGTTGTTTGCTGAAAATCATCATTCACTGCCAATTCAGAATTTTCTTCTGCCTGTATATTTTCGAAATTATCAACACCACCATCAATATCGGCTTCAATAATCTGTTGAGTAGCGGTGCTTCTCTGTCGATTTCCCAAATGTGGTAGGAGAAAGTCCATTTGTTTTTCATATTTCCATAGCCTAATATCCATACTTGCTGCTTGCCCCGTTGTTGTTTTTTTCTTATTTAATGCTTGTCTATGGCCATCTCTAAGTTTCTTCCACTGGCACTTGGCTTCTTTCACTGAAATAAAATATCTTTCAACAGATTTCTAGCTTCAGGAGACTTATTCAGATCAATGGCTTATAGTTACAGGATGGGAGAGAGTACAGTTTCAGAAATTGTGGAAGAAGTATGTGATGCATTGTGGAAACACCTCCAACCGCAGGTTCTTCAAAAGCCTACTTACAATATTTTCGGACAAAAATTGAAAAATGGAGAGTTGGGGTTGCCACCTGATGATCCCCTATATCCAGGTGGAGATACCTTAAGTTTTGATATGGGATGAGGCATTCAAGGTCAACGGTATCTCGGAGAATATTTAACTATCGGCTGTGCAGTACGCGCAGAGTCATGGAAAATGCTTTTGGCACATTAGCGGCTCGGTTTAGAATATGTATGTGTATTCCGAAGACCCTTCGAGTGCCGCCTTGAACTGGTTGATAAAATGGTTAAAGCAGCATGTGTATTACACAAATTATGTAATCAACTGTAACTCTTACACCTTGAGTGATGAGGACGTTGAGGATATGAACGATAGTCAACTGACGCCGTCGGCTCACTCTGGAAGCAGATACTCCAATGACAGTTTCTTTGTGACGGAAGAATTCTGTAGATATTTTAATACGTATGGACAATATATTTCTAATAATTCTCTTTGTTTTGTATTTAAATAAGGTTTTTATAAGGTTAGATCAATTTTTTTTTACCGTAAAAGTAAAATGTAGTTCACATTCTAAAATCCTTCAACTCTTTTGGACACTTCTACTTATAGTAGATGCTAAATGGGGAGTTACTCAAGCGTCGTGGGGACTTATTAGATTTTGTAGATTAGATGGTAGAAAGAAAAAAGGTCATGCGACATATACCTTTTCAGCGGTGGGGGGAGCGTCTACAGGGATTCCAAAATGCCAAAAAGGTCACATGTACTACTCGAGCGCGTCAGATATTGATAATGTATGTGCCCCACGTGTCTCCGATGACGGAAATATGTTAATCTGCCTGTTTTCATGGTTCCTGTTCCTGTTTCTTCTGCACAAGCGCAGGTTTTAACTACATTTTCAACTAAATTTCGGAGAGGGTCACACGACAGCGGAACAATTTGGCGTCCCGAAGCTTTTGTCGGGGACACCAGGATGGCGTACTGGAAAACGGGAAATAGGAATAGTCCAAGAAAGCTGTCACGGCCCAATGTTAAATTTGCAAATTGATTAAAAAAATATGAGCGTATAGGGAGTTAAATTTGACATAGAGTTTCCGCTAAATGCAACTCGATCCTAAGTGGCGAACTAACCTGAAAAGTTTGCAAAGTTGCAAAAACAGATTTTTTGATATAACTGAAAAACTATAGTTCCGATTGAAAAAAGTTAAATAGGAAAGTTGTAGGTATTAAAATGATCTACCTTAGCGTACCATATATGTATATGATAGAGGTGCTCAAGAAGGGTAGAAGGTATCCCCCAATATGTTAATCTGCAGCGGTTGAGTAAATCCCAAAAGCCCCTCTCTTCCGCCCCCTACTATTAGGTTTCAAACTACCTATTTATATAAAAATAAATATGAACAAGTTAAATACATACCGTCGGATATATCGCAATCAGCGATGATACTCCTCCATGCTGCTTCTTTAATCTCATTATTTTTATACTCGTTCGAGTCTACCTTCCATAAACATGGATGTTTTCTTACACATTCAATAAAATACTCCATTTTGTCTATTGCGAATTCCGAAGTGCAAGAACAAATAATAAAACAGCAACACCTCGCCAAGCCGGCCGCCAGCAAGAGCGGTTGGTGGGCATCTACGGGTGACGCGACGCAAGACGGAGATAGATATAGCGCAGAATATCGCTCCATAAGCATATTCCCAATATATCGCTGGGATATAAATATACCTTACAGGTCCGTGCGTGCGTGGCGTTACGTCGGGCTATATCTATCTTCCCCTTGCGTCGCGTCACCCGTAAATGCCCACGAACCGCTCTTACTGGCGGCCGGCATGGCGCGGTGTTGCCACTTTGTTATTTGTTCCTGCACTTCGGAATTCGCAATAGACTAAATTGAGTGTTTTATTGAATGTGTAAAAAAACATCCATCTTTATGGAAGGTAGACTCGAACGCGTATAAAAATAATGAGATTAAAGAAGCAGCTTGGAGGACTATCATCGCTGATTGCGATTTATCCGACGGTATGTATTCAACTTGTACATATTTATTTTTATATAAATAGTTTGAAATCTAATAGTAGGGGGGTCCAATATTTGTGTTTTTCTTGGTTATGTCGTTTTTTATCATATCATGCAATTCATAAAAAAATTTTCTATAAATTCGGAAATCATTCGCGAATTTTTCATCACTTAGGTCTTTGAACAGTGTAAATTCTCCTCGTTCCTTCCGAAACTTGATATGGTTAGATAACCAGTATCTAGGGTTTTCTTTTTGATTAGAAGCAATCACTGCTAAGAGATAATCGTTTTCGGCATTTGCTTCATCTTCTGATGAGCTATCGATCGTGTCTAGTATTAGCAAGTCATTAAGTCTCGCAAGTCATTAAGCCTCGTAGACATTTTGAATGAACACCACAATTAAATAATGAAACACTGGTTACTTAAATACACTGTGTTCAGCACAGATCAGCAGATCACCCTACTCACAGAAATACTAAGAAGTCGGCAACACTGTTAGAAAGATATGAAAGTATATATTCTGTCGTCCGTTGCAGTCATAATATATTACAATATTGTACAACTATAATATGTATATATTATATGATCGCTCACCGTCCGTTGCCAGCTTTACACATGCAGCGATATTTCTGTAATATGCAGGATGTAATATATACAGGGTGGCGCATCGAAAACGAAACAGACGCATTTACTGGCAGCTCAGTTTTTTTGGAAAAACGCTCTGACCAGTCGATTTTGTTTTCGAGGAGGACAGGGAAAAATCACGTTAGCACGTGCAGCCCCCTGGGCGGGGGTGACACCAACCCTAAAATCTTAAATGGAAAGGGTGGTCGAGTGATACCTTATTTTAAAGGTCTTTCAATTCCCTTTATAATGATATAAAGTTAGTGTAGTTCAGTTCAGTAGTTTTGAAGATTTATTGATTTAAAGCTTAAATAATAGAGGAAAGTGACCAAATATGGAATACCATTTTTGTTTTTGACTGTATTCAGACCATAGTTCAATTAATTTTCGTTTTCTCAATACTGTTGGGTGTAACTGAGCATAATGAAAAAGTCATATCAATTTTTGGCCAAAATACGTCATTTTCCCTGTTCAGAAACTGAAATATTGTTTAAGAACTCTGTTACATAACGATAAACATAAAATACAAAAAAAAAAACGGAACTGAATATTATCTACATAACAAACATTAAACAAACTTAAAACATTTCAGAAATTTTACACTGGAACAGAAGCGATTTTACTTGCAAAAATCGCACACAAATTTGCTTCGGTATGCCCCAGAACACTGTTCGTGGAAAATTTCGCCCCTTTGGTCTTCAGAAAATTTCCCATCACAATATCCGCATATGGCATCCTCGTCAGGATCTACCGTAGTTTCTTGAGTCAGTTCATCACCGGAGGAATCTTGATAATGCAGTGCTTCAGATTTTTCTGAAGAAGTAGAACTTGATGACCTTCTCTTATTCCTCGCCTTCTGTTTGGAGGCCACTAAATGCAGCCCGCTTGTGTTTGGCTGAGTTAGGATACTTTCGGTTTCACGTTGAGGGCATGGTTGAACTTTCCTAGATTTTTTGGGGGCCCCAAGTTTTCGTTTCACTGCTTCAACTTTTTCCTTAGAAACGTTCAATGATGTCTCCAATTCTTTGAGGTAGGGAGAAGACGTGATAATTTTGGACTGACCGGGTTTCCTTCCTCGTGTCCCTTTTTTTTGTGGGGGTCACGTGCGTTTCTACCGCTGGGGTATTCGGTCTACCGTACAGTTGCTCAATTACTGTGGGATTTGTTGCCGTGTTAGTCTCAGATTGTTCAGGTACTGCAGCGGTAGATTCGTCATCAGAGCCTTCTTGTGCAGCTTTCAGAAAATCAGATTCGTCGAAATTATTCCTGCGGACCGGATATAGCCCTGTCGTCTCAAATCCTTTAACAGCATTGGAACCACACTGTATCTTAAGGTAGGCCCTGCCGAAGATTTCTGTGATATCATACTGTGTGATGGGACGTTTATAGGTTCGCATGAATACACGAACCTCCTCATTGTAATGGGCCTTGAGTGCACCCATAACACTTTTGTCTAATGGCTGCAGTTTATGGGTGGTATGAGGAGGCAGACATATTATGGTTACCCCATTCTGCTTCGGCTTCCAGAAGATCGAAAAATGCATTAACATTTGCTTTGTTGAATCCTGCTACTCTGGCGAATGATGTCCCGGTAGGTTTTCTGAGTGTTAAGTTTGAATGTCTTTTCAAAAATGCCTTTAACCATTTCCTCCCTGCTTGCCCGAGATGTTCAGAAAATCTGTGCTCGATGCCATTCGCAACTGCAAGTTGGTATGCCATTCTGCCAACATCTGTTCTAGTCAACCCAAAGAAACGATTGTCCATATCAAGCAAATAATCTGCAAGTTCATTTTCTAACTCGATTGAGAGGACTGGTTTTCGTCCTAACCGTGTGTCACACACCGTAACTGGCTCTCCGTGTTGTTTACATAACCGGAAAAGGGTGCTTCGTGGCACATTAAATTGTTTTGCTGCTTTTAAATACCCCATTCTACCATCCCTAACTGCTGCCACTGCTTCCTCCATGCTTCCTTTCTCCCACAATTTTCTTCCATTTTCTTTTTTCCCTTTCCTTGACTTAGGCATGTCTGAATACAAACGGAAACCATTATTTATGTTTAAACAAATAGTGCACCTAATATGGAATATATATAGGGTGACCATAATTTTTCATCAAAAAAAAAGTACATTTATAAATTTAAAGGAAATTCAGTACAATACTCTAGAAAATTTATCTGGTTAAAATTTTAAGAATATTTAATCGAACAATAAGAGAATGTTTTTTTTTTAAATCAAACATAGGTACATAAATTATGTATATATATATTTAAAGCTAATTTTAAAAGCTAATTTTCTTTCGACGTTCCTGCCAGAAAATTTTGATCATCATTCTGGTACCAGACGTACTTTTTGGAACCATGAATTTCCTTCAGAAGTTGTGGTTTACTCTTTAAGAACTGAAACATTTCATTGCACGAAACTTTGAAGTTTGTGTAGACTTGCATGATGGCTTCCAGAGTAGATATTTTCAGCTGCGATTTGTCGGGACTCCAATAGTTATTGATATTTGAGAACAACCTCTCAAGCGACGCACTGGTCCCAGGCAGACAAAAAACGAACTCGCATAGAATTTTGAGATTTTTCAAAGCACTTTCTTTTTGGAAGACTTCGAGCCATCGATCTTCGGTAGAAATATTTCTCGAATTCCAGTCTACGATTTTATCTTCTGTAACGTTGGTTCGTATTAAACTAACTTCATCGAACAGTTCGTCCTGATTCAATATCGGACCTATGTAGTCCTTGAAAGCCTCACACGACGACAAAATTTCAGCCCAAGAAACTTGTTTTTTCAAGTTAACCCATCCAAATAGCTTTAGTTCACTTAAATTTTCACTCCAGTTTTTCAAATATGTTACACAATTCGAATAGAACTGCTTGACATGCATGACGAAGATATCCCGATAGTTTACACTACGGTCAATGTCTCCCATATTCTCAAGTTTCGAAAGTGACTCTCTTACTTTAAGCGGTAAATATAACTCATTTAAACGATTTTGAAGCTTATTTATGAGTTCGAAATACTCCAAAGCGACTTCTGTTGCGCATATTTTGTCACCTTCTACATCTAAAATCACTTTGTGGAAGAGAGACGCAATGTTATGCACAAACCACATCCATGCTTCACTGATTGGGTTTTGAAAAAACTGTTTTAGAACTGTTGGACAATTATCAATCGATAAAAAATATGCTTTCAAGGGTTCGAACATTTGTACAATTCGTTCAATGGCTGGCATTAGGCTTAAGAATCTAGTTTTTGAAAACGACAACATTTTTTTGTACTCGACATCAACAAAATCACAAAACTGTTTTAGTTTCTCCACTCTGACTGTAAAAATATAGAAATGCTTAAAAATCTTGACCGCAATAACCTCGACGTCTATTGGTAAGACGTCCGTCGCATTTTGTAAACAGTTGTTAAAGATGTGTGCTACACAACCAACCAATTCCAATGACGGGTTTGCCACGAGAAGCATTTAACTTGCTGAATAGATTATTCACTCCTTTTCTCCTCATTCCACCAAAATTTGTATTTGTGTTATCAGCAGACATTCCGATGCATTTTTGAAGTAGATTATGGTGATTCAAAGCACTGACCACGTAATCTTTCAACTGCTCTGATGTTTCTCCAGGTAAGTCACGCAGCTGAAGTAATTTTACTTGGATTAAGGGCACAACTTTAATTTCTCGATGATTTGACGAATCGATCGTGATGCTAACAAAATTTGCTTTACGAAGGTCAATTTCTAATTGGGACTGAGCTTCTTGAGCTAAAACATTTTTTACAATCGCCTCAGTCTTGGTTCGAGCTGCCGCAAATTTTGGTTCAAACATGTTTACAATTAGTTTTGACGTGCAGTCTAAGGATCTGAAGCTTTGCAAATGCTTAATTGTATGGTAAGCAAAAGTACCTTCCTTGGCAGCAATCAACATATCTTCAGAACTTGAACTGTCACTTTTAAGAAAAGTTTCCAATTTTCTGCTATTCAA